TTTTTTTTTTTTTTTCTGTCCTAGACAACATATGGATTGATGCTACTGTCTTCCTATAGTGACAGAATTCCTTGAAATGGAGTTTGAGGTTAAGATTTCATACTTTGATGCTTCTAAAGCTATGATTTAAAGTTAATAGTCTTGAAGTTGTGTCCTGATGTTTGATGCTCATTCAAATTTAATCGACTTTGGTTGCTTATATTATTGTGGAATTGGTTGCTGAACCTGAATTAATAATATGAATGGTCTGTTTTAATTGCTTGAGATTCGTGGATGCATAGATTTGGCAAGTTCTGCCAATCTAGCTTTACTTTTGTTTTGAGCCTTTAATTCTATTTGAATGTTTATTTCTAATTTTATTGTCTCAGTTGTGGGAGCATAGGTGCGGATTAGCACTTTTGTTCATGTTATTTTAAAGGTTTGATTAGGGGATAAATGAGGAGTGAGGAGGATTTGAATAGAAGTAAGAGTTTTTTTTTGATGAAAGGTTGAAAGCCTTTTGGTTTAAATAGAAAACTTCCTTTGGTATTAGGAGTTTCTTCCATTTAGGCCTTAAGTTTCAACTATGACCATTTGGAATAGCGAGGTTAACTTCTCCATCTGAATAGAACTGGTATATGCACAAGCAGTTATTCTCGCATTTTATTTTTGCTGTTTAGCAGAACTTAAGCTTGTAAGAAAGACAAAGAATTGGAGAAATCATGGTATTAGACTAGCTTTCTTACCCACCCTGTCAACGTTTGATCATGCTGTTAGCAATGGAACCATGGGAGCCTTCAAAACAAAAGAATGCAGGGTCTATATCTAGAAAGCCTCTTATTGTTTTTACCTTGCCACATTTGTAACCCTGAAATTGTGTTTTTCAACGAATTATTTGGCAGTTACGGTTACGAAACGAAGATTATGAAAAGGATATACTAGCAATTGTTAGCTCGCATTTCTTCGGGTTTTTGTACATTCCAGCTAGTGTGTTCCTTTAACTTTACATCAAAAATTAATATTCTGGAATGGTGGCAGAACTGAAGTTGTAATAGCAGATGACAAGCTATTTGTGGCAAGTACCAATGCTGTGGAAGCTCGTTATTATGATGAAGATATTGGGACTATCCGTTTCTTTGGGATGGACCGCTACGGCAAACCTTTTGGAATTACAGCTTGCACTAGATCTGTAATAGACAGACAGATTGTGAAGAGGTGTGTGATGAACTATTTCGGCCTACAGCAATTGTTCCTTTTAGGTCGAGGGAGGAATCTGAAATCGAAGAAAGAGCAGTGCCAAGTTCAAAAAAAGAGCAGTGCTAGGGGCACTCGCCCCTTGCAATCTCCGGCCAACACTTCCCCTTCCATTGGGCCACGTTATTTTAATTCGCAAAAGGTTGCACTTCAAAGCCGTAAAACAACCTTACTTGGCCTAGCCTTACTTTTTCTTTTAAGGTTTCAACCAATTAACATGTTTCATTAAAAAAAATAAAAAAATTGGGAGCAAAAATTTGAAACTAAGGGTATGACGTATATCGTATTATTAAATTAATTTATACATATAATATTATAAATTTTAAAAAATAAAACAATGAATTATATATTAAATAATATATAATTTATTTTTTAATATTTTAAATAATGTGATTTAATTACATCATTAATTTTAAATTTTAATATCAAATTTTCATCTCATATATCATGATTCTTTGGTTTAATGTGACGGAGCACAAACTCTAACCCAATATATTAATATATAACTATTTTTAGGAAATATTTTAATACTTTAAAATTTTAATTTATTTTATAAGTTTAAATTTTAAAATGTGTAAAAAAAATTATTTAATATTATATAATTTATCATCAGATTACATCACTATTAACACAAAAAATTAAAAGAAAAATTAAGAAGTTTCGGAACAAATCAAATCAGAAACATGTAGATCCTAAGTAGGAGTAGTGGATTGAATAAACCGCACACCAGTTGGAGTCTGAATGCGGGGCAGTCGTTGAGCAGTCCACATTTCGTCCAGCTGCGTCTCTTTGAAGATTAATATATGCTTTCCGCTTTCGGCTTTCCTTCTGGTTTTTCAGTTTAGTGGTCAAGCGTTTACCCTGCAAACACTCAGGTTCCAAATTTCTTGGTTTGTCTGTGTTAGGTAAAGTGGTAAAGGCAAAGTAATGTCATGAGTCGGTTTTTGTGTATTATATTAAACTTAGGTTTTGTTTGCGATTTTTTTTTTTGTCCATGTTTGTCAATACATTATACAAATTTTTTCTCTACAATATTGTTTTTAAAAATATAAATTTATTATAAATAATTAATTTTAATCAATATTAATATAAAATATTTTATATTTTTAATAATTTTAAATAATACATTTTATTTATTTTTTAATAAAAAAATATGATTATAATATAATTTAATACAACATAACACTCTCAAATTTAATATAAAAATTTTCTTTTCTTGGTTTCCCGCCCGGTATCTGGGACTTCGTCCCGACTAATTCGGACTCAACCCGCGTCGTGCACCTGAAAATGGTGGGTGAGTCTCCCAACGGGGGCTGCTGCATACACAAAATCTCGAACTTAAGATCTTACTTAAGCTAAAATAAACCACTTACCACTTGATCCAACCCTCGTTGGGCAATATAAATTTTTAATTGTAAAATTAGCGAGGAAGAGGAAGAGTTACCTGAGAGATCCTATAATCTTCTTTTTCTTTTTCTTTTTTTTTTTTCTCTTTGCCCTTGGGAAAATGGAGAAAAGAATTGGCCGAAGTCGATAAACGCAATTAAATCTAAAATATTCATTCTAGGAGACAGATTACTTTTGATTGGTTCTGCATGGACCCCACGTGCTGATCATTTCTCCAAATAAAAAATGAAAATAAAAAATCAGACTGTTTTTACCAGTTGAGCTAGACTTTTTTTTATGGTGCCCCTTCGTAAAAATTTTAATATAGTAAATAAATATAAGTAAAATTTTTATTTTTTAATTTAAATTACGTACTGAAAGTTTAGTCTCGTAAAAAATTTATTAAAATATTTTTAATAAATTGATAAATTAAATTATATATTTAATATGTAATATGTTAAATACATATAAATACATATTTTATTTACAGGAAAGTGCGGGTCAGTCCCGCCTCCAAAAACAAAAATTAGAGTCCCAACCAAACGACGTCATTTTCTCCCAAAATCTACAACTTGCTGTTCGTCTTTTCTCTCAAAAATCCCCAGCCCCTGTTCCTCGCTCCTCCAATTCCTTCAATTTTTCACTCAAAAATCCAGCCACTACTGCCACCCCCCTCTGCAATCATCTCCATCTCCTTCTTCACCCCTTTTGCAATCGTCTCACGCCGTCGACCCAACTCTGTCGCTGCAATTCATCATCTCCGATAAGTGTTTTGTTGGATCTCTTTTTTTTTTTCTTTTTTTTTTTTTAGTTTTCAATGTAAATTTCTCAAGATGAAATTGATGGGAACAACTGCGATTCCTTCAATTTTTCACTAAAAAACCCAGTCCCTGCTGTCACCCCCTCTGCAGTCATCTCCATCTCCTTTTTCATAAACCAGAAACGAAATTCATTGAAGAGAAAACATTTACTTTTTTTATTCTTGTTTCTATTTTATTGCTTCTCTATTTTGTTGCATAAAGCAAAGCAGTTGCTGGATTTCCTTTGCATAAATTTAGGGAAATGCTATTTTTAGAGTAAGCTTTGGGTGGTACTTATTCCTATCATTTCCGGAATTGTGGTCCCTTTGCTTTCTTCCTTACAATCCTCATAATTTGTTTGGCA